AAGCTAACGAAAATGAGACAGAGTAGGCTAGTGTGGAGGTTAAATTTTTTAACAGATTTAAAATTCTAAGTTGATCATAGATCACCATTGAAAACCTAGTATGAAAACTAGTATGAAACTTCTCAGCACTCCCTACCCACCATACCACATTCTAGGATCGAACGCAGAATCTCAATCAAAAACGGTATTATCTCCACAATTCTATACCGATAATCACCATGTGCTCACTAGTGACTAACTTCGTGAGGGAATTCTCGGAGTTCTAGTGAGAAGTCATGACCAGTGGAGCTAATCCGTGTCGGGTAGAGACAGGTATCTGTCTCAGTTTAATGGAAGGTGCTCGCGCAATTCCATGGATTGGTTGATATTAGACATTAACACCGTCGGATGCCTGCCAGATCAGTGGTCTAGAGGTTAAACGTTTGTGCGCGAGACCGAACGTCCTGGGTTCAAATCCCACGGGTGGGGTTGTGGATACCAACTACGGAGGAGTCCCACAATAGGAGGAAACGGCCGTCCAGTGCTTCCAGGTTTTCACTGGTGGTCTAACATAAATCGGTTCATGATGTTGATTAACTAGTGTTGTATGAATGAAATAGTTTTTATTTCTTCAAATAATTTCAAACGTATCGTCAATAACTATTTACTCACTATTAAGTAACTTTTTCAACCATATTAAGTCATAATAAATGAGTAGAATCACTGAAGAATGGAATCATTAGAAGTTTTATATGATGATTCTGATCAGTGTGGAAATTCTAGTGTAAAATGTTAATCAAGTAGATTTTACATAATTATTATAAGTTATCATTAGATTATGATAAGTATAATATCGATATTTTATACACTATGGTGATGTCAATAAAACGCTGACTATAAATGAATACAAATTTAATTGATTGGGGCTTTTTACCAATTAATTAATCATAATTATTGTAGTTTATTGAATCAATAACGCAATGTCGTTGTGGACACAATAAATGAGGAGAATTTTCCTTTATTTCTGAGTTAAAATTTAGTTGAGATTAATTTTACTCAATATACAGATTCAAGTCTACGAATATTGCATGAAGTCTTTCATAATGATTCATTTCTTCATATTACATGAAACACATATTAGATTATCCTATAGTAGAGAAAGGATTAATCTGATTCATGAACTAGCAGGAATTAATTAATGTTAATGTCTCAATAATATATTCTATTCATCAACTGATTTAATCTTGATCAGAAGATTGCTTACTTTTGCAAACAAAAAACGAACTTATGGGAATCCGAATAAGGCTATTAATTTTTCAGCATCCATGAGTAAGATTTAATTATATATAGATGATGAAATCAAGATATCATTACCTTATTTGTATGTTACAGTTGCAAGGCGTTCCTCCATATTCAAATATGATATCATTCAAACTTTTAGTAAAGTAGATTTCATCTCCATCAGAAATCTACAAGTATAAAATGCTGAGAATTATACCTTGTAAAACATTTCAACTAATCTGTCAAATCAACGAATTCAACCCTGGTGTTCTGTTTACTACGGTGTTCACCACCTATCAATCTTGACAAGACAGACGCTCAAAATGAAAGGTAGATCGTTGAAAACCAGAAATTTCCTTTTCTATATGAATTACTTGAAGGTGAAATTCGAGTGTATATGTTTGGTAATGAAAGCATGGTGTAATAAAGACGTACAATCACCAGTCTTACAAATTTATCTATCAGTACATATGTCTGATAAATTGCACATATGAGAATAAAACCACTTAGTAAATTGATTGAAAGACTCAATCGAAGTCTCATTAAGTTAGTGAACATATTAACAATACGTCTGTAATCCAGCAGATCCTTGAACATTGCCAGATGTGCCATGGGTCGACATTTGCTGTTTATCATGTTAAGTACTTAGAATCAGACCCTATAATTTAAAATTTTACATAACTGAGAAAACTTTTAATATCCTATCATAGAAATACGAAAGAACTCAGGCAGTTTATATCCTTACCAACACCAATCTCCACCATTCTAAACTGTAAGTAAGGATATCTTGAACTGCTCAACTTCAACATCTTTCATTAGCATCGCCATAAGCAGTGTTCTGTAGATAGTCGTCGTCCGAATACATGTAAGTCCTGTAAACGTAGAAAGATTTATTAAATTTCATTATACAATTAATATCTTTCCATCATTTTGTGATACAAGGACTACCAAATTTCAAGCTTAACTCAGACTTTTTAAACTATGAAAGGCGAAAACTTATTAAATATATATTATTGGAAATAAGCAGACATGATGTTGACCGTCAGTGAAATCCAGGATGCGTATTTCATCCCATTAGAGACTGGTCGGCTGTATATACTTGCATCCCATAGTTGATGTTCACTCCGGGACTCAAAACCAGTACCGTTAGCTTCAAACACCAATGCGTTATCCACTTAGCTACTGAGTCCAGTTAGTCATTAGCTTGTGGTTTATAATGCTTATGATCTAAAACAATATCGAGGCAATCTGCACATGATGTACATATACCAATAAGAGACTGATCAGTTGCAGCCCTAAACATCAATGGGAAGATTCAAAAAACCAATACAAAAATGTATTATTGGAAATGTTTGTTCATTATTGATAACCGTTATTTTCCACTTTTCTATATTGTCTATTTGATGTTATCACGAATAAAATTATACTATTTTGCATAATTCATCGCTCAAATAAAAAAAAATTACCCAAACACTATAAATATTCACTCTAAAATAAAGATATTTTGTAAAAAGGAACATCAGTTAAAGAGATGTCGGTTCAAAACATACAATCAGAAATGGGATTATCAAGTCAACTACATATACATGATCTGTATGAAGTTCTAGTTAACTTCTAATGAAGCGAAACGGATTCAAGTAGTTTAAAACAATGTATTTCATGTAATCAAATTATGAATAATGAATTAATAGGAGAGTAATAATGAGAAAAAGTGAATTTATCATGAATTGTCTGGCTAAATAATCTGTTTACCATGGACAATCATTAATTTATGTCTATGCGATTTTTTCCTTATAATGATTGACTTAAACAATTGGAATCCCGAAATAGAACTTCGTTCATCTGCTATGTTGAATATTATTATTATTATTAATAATACCAGCTTTATTCAATACCAGATACTCAGTTACAGTAAAGAATTTCCATTACAGGTTATGCAAAGTTGCAATGAATATTTCAGTTTATAATCACTTAAATTTTAAATCTAAAAATTATGTGCAAAAGCTTTTAAATATTGACAAGCTATTAATCGTATTTATCCGTAACTGTTTACTGTCTGTCATGTTTTCATGACTTGATGTGTGAATCCTATAGTAATTACCTCTTGTGTCTTCAAAGGAATGAGGTGGATGAAACCACTAATTAGATTTACATTAGGATGTATACGTTTCCACTTACCTTAGAAACTATTTTTATTAGTTGACATACATATCTTATCTACGTTACACAGATTTGTAACTGAAGTGTTTTAAAGTAAGCTTTTCGGTGATTCGACTACAAACCTATGATAGATCTTAACCCATAAATGTTACCTCAACAACAATATGTATTTAGTAATCTTGATAGGAAAAATAATTGATCACCCCCCAATCAGTTGACTGAATTGGCTACAAGCTCTTGATATCCTTTTCAAGACTTCCTTTAAATCATAAACTGTACATTAAATTGGCAGTAAAATCTTGACTACTCTTTTACAATTACAACTGAACACATCTTAACTCACTTTACCTAATGGAACTCAAATTTTGAACAATGTAGTGTAATCAGTCTACTTCCTTTCTTTCTACATTGTTATTTAGCTTAATATATTTTTGCATTATTAGTCAATTATTATGTTTCATCAAAAAGAAAAATGATACTCCAAAAATCATAGAAATCTATCAACAATTTTCAGGTTTTTTTCTCTATTTTTTTAATAATCCATGAGTTTTACTCTTCACAATTATATAAATAGCATCTTGTATACGATAGAAAGAGTGGACAGAAATTTCGAACTACCAGTAATAATCTTATGACATCAACATTTCACACTGACATGACCTTTCAGCAAAATAACATTGAAAGTTCATAAAATCTGGTCCATAGATTTTGAGCTTTTAAACTATTCATATTTAAAATTACATACACCAATAATCTGAGTGAGTTTGGCTGAGCACATAAACACACAGCCATGGTGGTGGTGATGATGATGGGAATATACATTTTACAGTCTGTACTTCTCCCCCTAATGTCTAATTTAACCGTGACATTTTTCTCATCTCACTATGTCAATCCAGTAAACGTTTGGTCAGAGTCATTGTAAGGCAAAACAAATCACATGTATGCATGCAGAGTAAGTGAGTTAATCTACGGAATTCAGGTAAGGGGACGTGCTTTCATCCCATTCTCATTCTGTTACTCCACCCTATATTATATTACTGCTCCAATCGATATGGCAATGACTACATATATATATAAATAAATATTGTATTCTACACACATCTCTCACTACCATACCTTGTAAGCTAGCAAACTCAAGGGTTGGGACATAAACAAACATACACAATGCACATGTACATAGATTGCCTTAAAAACATGCATTTATACACAAATTCAACTGAGTTCAAACATACTCTTATCAGGCACTTTCTCGAATAAAATTGTGACTGTCCGTACTACAATGTGCTAAACTTCATTCGGACTTATCGTAATCCATGGGACATCAGTATTTCATTGGATGAAAATTCAAACTATTAAATAAATTTTTAAAAATTCCTCTCTTTGTATATTCACTTACATTACTTGTAAATAAGTAATTTCTGTGAGTACATGGTTATGGTAGTTGTAGTTGTAACGGAAAAATAACAACCTGGACGAACGGGACGAACAGAAAAAGAAAAATCAAAATATTTTTCCTAACCCATTACAAAAAATTATCAACTAATAATTCGTTAAACTATACTACTTTATTATCAGTTAATATGAATGAACAACAAACATTTCTCACAACTACTACGATTCCTGATTTCACTACTGGCGATGAAGATACTGCTGTAATTGATACGATGAATACTAATAATAGTTATTCACCGAATACTCCATCCAAAATTGAATTACTTTCAAATCTTACTGATAAAGAAAAAAAAATTGAACATGACTTAGACAATAATAATGATTATAGTTTTCAAGATGATGACCAATATCATCGTCATATACAAGACATGATGATTGATCAAAATGACGGTGATAATGTGACTGAAGATACCGATGATCAAGAATATCAAGATGACATTAATCAATCTAATAAAATGGATACATTCAATTTTAATTTCTCTCTTTCTAATCCAAATGATTCTGACGATTCATTAAAACAATTAACAAACCTAAACAAAGATACTGGCAAACCAATTTATTCAAAATCCAATAACAATGATGACAAAAGACCAAGAAAATTTATATGTCGTTATTGCAATAAAGCATTTAGTTTAATGAATGTTCTTAAAGTTCATGAAAGAATACATACTGGAGAAAAACCATATGTTTGTGAAATATGCAATAAAGCATTTAATCAAAGTGGTATGTTATGAGTATATTTTTATTATATGTATAAATATATATGTTTAATGACTAAGTTAACTTATATTCAATTAGGCTTTGCATCTAAATTAATGAAAATAGTAGTTTAATCTTGTATAACATTTTGCATGATAATGTACTTAACTTTGAACGATACTTTAGTTATATAAAAGTTATTGATATCATTTGGCTGCTCAAATTGAAGTATATGAAACTGAGTTCGAGTCTGATACTTATTGGTTACGGTTGAAGTTCGAAAGATCTAAATACAAAATCACTGCTTAACTTTACATCCTATATGAAGAAACAATATTACTTATCAATATCATTTTGTCCTACAAATAGGTAAGAGTAATCCTTGCTCTATATTTACCAGTTTCTAACTGCCTCAAAATTTCAACCTCGCTTCAAACTATGATTATTAAGTGGTTCTATTACATTTAATTTAATGGACTGAGTGAACATGGAACCTATCCACAAATGGTACGATTTTATTATATTAATGTGTGTTTGCATCTGTGTGTTTGGAGTGTATAAAAATATTATGTAATGAAATTTAAGATCACATTATTCAACAGTGACCTGTACTAAAATCTAGTAAACCCATTTTAGCTAATTTGGAATTTGTTCTATAGATGAACCAACATTCGTTGGAATTCGGATTAAATACCTATGGCTGCAAGTAATAGTGTTATCTATTCATGGTCTATAGGAATCGCAAGTTAAGATCAATACGTTAATTTATATTGAATTATGATGCCTTAATCAATACAATTTTACACTGGACAGACGGCCGAGAATATATCAATTTTCTTTTTTTGGTCCTAAACTATGGATTATACTTTACCATTCATTTTCACTTATCTACCAGGTATGTATTTGTGTACTTGGCTTTGAGTCACACTCTAAGTGTAAGTTCTAATGATGCCATCCGGTTGATGGAGAGGGGTTTCAAACCTCTCACTTATTGGCTTAACCACTGAACTGATGAGGAAAACTGGTCGTATAGCTATGTCTGCTTAACTGTTCGTCTTAAAATTGCTCTCATTACTTATGTTTCATACACTGTATATCTATAAACAGATCAGATGTAGTACATGACATAAAATATCCTGATTTCAAGATTAAAAAATCTAAAAAATGCAGTTCTTATGTAAACGATACTCCTCATACATCTTAACATTAATTCCCATGTCTCCAATAAAAATTGAGTTGACATTTGGAGCTTATTTTGATCTTTTTTCCTTAAAGTTTTTAAGATATGCTTACAAAATATTTTTTATGATAAATAGGTCACTGATTTTTAAAGATTGATAGATCACCATTAAGTATGAATTGGAAAATGTATTAATTGCTAGGATCAACTAACAATAGAAATGCCTGATAATTAGAAGTAGCTGAATTCGGTGTGCTAACTAGTAATACCCATAACTATTTAATTTGTGCTTTATTAGTCATGTATGGACCGGCATTCAAGTCAGAGAGAACTCTAAGTATTTTGAGTTCGTAATAATGTATATTGTTGTATACAACATCAGAAAATGTCACAGAATTTCCCTGTAAAACTGACCATTAAACTTTATGAACTTCACTGAGGACTTGTTTCATTTCATCAAGGGCGATTTAGGATCTCTCGTGAAAGTAAGTTACTGGACATTACATCAACGTAACAAGAGAGCGAATCGATGGGAATAGAATCATAGAATTGAAAATAATGCTCTTAATAATATCAAGCTAAACATAAGAGACATCGTTTCAAAGGAACAAATGAAGTCAAAGAATCCAAGATATGATGGTTGAATGTTACTAGGTCACTATAAATCCATTGAGCAACTTTACCCAATGGTAGAGTGCATTTGATAATCTTAAAGAAATGCGTTATCCAAAGGTTATACATGTGTGTTTGATTGTTATTTTGAACAAACTTATAAGTATAATCCGTGAACACATTCTTTTGACCTAGAAATTTAACCAAATTTCATAAATGACGTTTTACTGCTATACTCAAAGTAGCTTATGAACTTGGAAAATTTACTGCGGTTTTCAGATATTAAATTCATTTCATCATAGAATAATAAGCTTTAAAATAGATTTCCATAAAGGTCTTTCTAGTATTACGGTTTGTTGAATTTCATTTCAAATACTCATTATAATTACTATGCATTAAATCTTTTACAAAAGTTTAACTATTTTCCATAAACATTTTGAATTCACTCTTATTTCCCTGAAGAGAAAACATTACTATTGAATATAATCTCATTAAATAAACTGAATCCATTCTGTATATATACATAACACAAATGTTAATTAGTTGCATTGAAGCAAATTCTTAATTCGTAACCTGTTTCCTTCATAAACATATTCTCTTCCTACATTGACTACTTATACCATACTCTCTACTTGAGCTACACCGATGGTTGTAAACTGTCATTAGTATGAAGTAATTGTAAATAAGCCTCCACATGTAAGATTGAAGGTCATGGATTCAAACCTTCACGCACGGGATATGTGCTGCTGAGGAGTCCCATAAAAGGACGAAACGAACATCCAGTACTTTCAGGTTTTCAATGGTGGTCTAACATTGATCGATTCATGTTCTCAATTGAAACTCTATTTATTCCACCTAGTTAGTAAGTACCAAATCATGCATCGCAAATATGCCAGATAGCAACCTGAAATCGACCCACTTTAAAAGTTTCTTTGTTTAAATAGTGATTCCAAAGTATCCCTAAGTCTTAAAAGTAACTAAACCTAATTTTCATAACTTATAGATCAAATGACCACTGAGATTTGATTAAAATACCCCGATTAGTCATACAGAATATCCACTTTTTATTGCTGCTATTTAAATGAACTAATCAAATTTTCGGTTAGATGTCTGTAGGTCATTCGTTTACGAAAAAGTCACATAATCACTCACTATTTGGTCTTATGACATCAGCCTTTATTGCATATATATGTATAATACTCATTGTTCTGTTTTTCTTTCAGCCTGTGTCTGTTAGTTGGTAGTTGGTCTTTGAGTCATTTGGACTCAAGGTCATTCGCTCGACTGCAATGGTAATCTGTAAAGAAATTAATCAACACAAAACAATAATAATTTTGCTAGACTGTAATCTGCCATACGAAATCTGATCCCATATTTGTTACATGCATTATGGTTTGAACGAAAGAAATCCATAGTGTCTCGGTAACATAAATGAGCATAGATTGAGAGTAGAATTTTAGTTTTAAGTCATAGTTAATGTTAATATCTGAGAAGAATTATCATGGTGATATATTTCGTTGGAGTAACTTCAAAAATATGCTAGGTTTTATGCTAATAATGTACATTTTTATAGACTAACTAGCCGCCATTTACCTCTCGATCATTATGTAAACTTATTTTGATCCTTTAAGTTGTGTACTACATTCTATGTTTGTCGACAGTTTGAGGAGAGTAATAGGCATAAATACATAGGTAAGCTACATCTGCATTTAACATTCCAACCCTAACTGCTCGACACGTTGATAAAAACAGCCTAAAAGAGCAGTTTATTACCATAATAAAATTATCCCGTCAGTATATTAATTGACTGAATATAATATTTCAAATGAGAGCACCAGAGAGGGGTAATATCAACTTAATACAGATGTAAATGTAAAATTTTCGTAACAGTTTAACAGGTTTAAATGTGAATTTCCAAATTATGTCTTATTTCACTTAGATAGTCTAGTGTCGATCTATTTTCGTAATCTATGACCAATTTGATACGTACTGCTACCTCCTTATAATTTTTTTAGTTCTGTTACTGGATTCCTGCAATAGAATGCTTGATTTTAAATGCATTTAAACCCTGTTCCTTCTTCACAGGATCAACAAATTTCTATATACTTACATGTGTGGTATCAATAAAGCATCTATATCACCTCTGCACCATATTGTTCGTATTAAGGAAATCTTCCACAACAGAGGGTATATCGAACATATTTCACACTATTAAGAATGTTATTCCCCCTTTCAATGCTCGCCTTTCTAAAAAGCATTCAGTTTTCTTATAGAAGAAACACTAGTTAGTCAACAAGTAACCCCCTATAAATGGTAAAGTATGAGGATTTATGGAGTTCATGAGTCGATCTAAGCTAGACCACTATGGGTGAAGGGTTGCGCAAGATCATGGATCGATTGAAGTTAAACATTAACACCGTTGAATGCTGGCTTACTGGTTCAGAGGTTAGGTGTTCGTGCGCCAGACCTAGGGTCCTGGGTTACAGTCCCGCATATGGGATCGTGGGTCACACTGGGGAGTTCCATACTCGGACGAGACGGCCGTTCAGTACTTCCAAGTTTTCCATGATGGTCTATTTTAGATCGACTCGTGAATTCAACTGTTAACATAGTAAGATGCAGACTGAACTATATGCAGAGAATGTTTAGGTTATTGTTATCTTTTAGGAAATAAATCATTGTGGTTATTATTTCAGTAATTTTTGCTATGCTGTATGTAAAGTTATACTGCAAAATGTTATACAAACTGTCTTTTTGAGACTCTCCACGGAAGGGGGATATTTTAGTTGTTTGGTGTTTACTGTATAAGCTTGATTTCATTTCAGGTTAGACATATGTGTTCAAATGACTAATAGTTTGTAATTATCTTCAATGTAAAATGTTATTCAACGAATTACTTGCTTAATCGAAGTCTCATTTTTTTTATTATATCAACAACTTATATTTAGATTATTGTCCATTGATTTCTTCTGTAGCCAGTTAGTACTCAAACAACGATAATTGTCTGTCAATTGTATTATTTTTAAATCAAGCAAGTAGAGCATTTGCTCACATTGAGAACTTTATTATTCGAAATTAACAACCAATGACATCTATAAAAGAATAATATTTACTGCAATCATTTCTATTTTATTCATATAAACACTGAAGGAAACTCACTTAAATGAAATCAGTTTCAGTTATTAAGAAGTAGCGACTTATTGGTTAAATAGCCCAAACATTTAACCATTCAGCTGTCAGGTTCAAACTCAGTTCCAACTACTTTGGTTTTGGCAGCCAATTAGTATCATTGATCCCTAGCTCAAAATTATAGTTTAAACCATAGTTAACTAGCCTGTATTGGGTTAACAACTTACATTGGTTTTTAACTTTTTCTGGATATTTCATAGAAGTTAAACTCACTGAAATCTTTCAACCAAATTAACAGTCCAAACGAGTAGCAAATCTTTTGTTAAAAAGCGCACAGTTTGATAAAAGTTTAATTAAAGTGAATATGTATTCTGATTTATTACCAACCTTAATCTAGTTTTCGTTATGAGTTGATATCAAATGGGGAACTACTGAAAATCAGGGGCACTAGATGATTGTTTCGTCCTGGTCCGTGACTCTTCAGTCGTACATATCCTCCTACCAGGGATAAGACATAGAACTTAAGGACCTCATAACATGTCCATTATCTCTACAATGCCACTAAATTTTATTACTGAAAAGACAACTAAGAAATATATTTTACGGCTAAACAATCAATAATTATTTACAATTCTGAAATCTAAAAATTTTATTTTATTTTTCAAGGTTCACTAAATCGTCATAAGAACACACATACTAAGCGTAGCAGTGATAATCGTAGTTATTCATGTCGATTCTGTCCACGTCAATTTCTACATTCTAGTCAATTACAAGATCATGAAACAGTGGAGCATAGTATGGAAATGAATATATCAATTTCAAAATCAAATGATACAAGAGTTAATGATTATACTACTGTAAAATTACCAACATCTTCATTATCCACAACATCTTTACCAATAATATCAACAACGGAAACAATAAAAACAATAACAGAAGGAATAACAGCTGATTGTAATATATTAAAACAAAATCATTTATCAAGTCAATTACTTCATAATAAATCAATAAATAATAATACCCTGAAACTTTCATCTTCAGAACATAATAATAAAAATTTTGACAAAAATAATAATAATAATAATAATAATAATAATAATAATAATAGTAATTTACTTAATAATAATATAGATAACAATGATATAGACAATAATAATTCAATGTCATTATTAAATTCTACCCAAAATCTTTTTGAGCTTGATACAAAAATGACTGGTGTAGCAAATAAATTTCCATTTCCTTATGGTTTAAATTTGATTAGTAAATTTTTACCAGTTGGTTTAACAGATGAATTTATTAAATCATTAGAGAATAATAATATAGATGGATTATTACATCAATTACCTATAACAACAACTACTACAATAACAAGTTCTTCAACAGTTGGTATCACTTCTACTAATACTGTTTCTGGTATGAATATTTCAAATATTATTAATCCTATTAATAAAGGAATACTGAAACAGGACTTGTTAGATAATACAAATACATTTACTTGTACATTATGTTCAACAAATTTATCATCAAAAACTGAATTAGATATACACTGGGGACAACATTTTATACAACAAATGGGTAAGTATGATAAAATGTTTATCTGATATCATTATTATTGTTCTCATTTGGAATTTTTCATCAATAAAGTGTATTTTTAGGAATGATATTTGTCATTAGAAATACATTCAAGGAATACTGGAGAAGATATGTAGCTTGGGTGGATGATTTTGATGTAGTTTTGTTCTCTGAACTGGATGGTTTAGTTGTGTAGCTTTCATCGTTCTTCTGAACGACATCATCAGCACAAACTATATAAATATAGAGTACTTCACTTCCACCTGAAGTTTGTGTTGATGATGTCGTTCAGAAGAACGATGAAAGCTCCACAACTAAACTATCCAGCTCAGAGAACAAAACTCCATCAAAATACATTCAAGGGGTTGAGATACTTTCAGACTCTTATTGTCGATTTATTTTGTTAATCTTTTAAACATTTTACAGGAGTTTAAGATTACTAAAATTGCAAATAATCAAAAGAAGAGTATTCCATTTGTGATTGAGTGGTTACATTCTTGCCTTTTAAAGGAGATCAGGATGGTCATTCAAGCGAATGCATCAGTCTACTTTACTTCACTTCTTTTTAAGCGTACATATAAATTAACTATTGAACAAAATTAATGATACATAGAATCAGAATAAGTTGGCCGATACGTTAAGCAATCTAATGAATACAGTTTATTTAGTACCTCATTTTATTTATTTATTTTAACACATAGATATTGGTACAAAGAGGCAACAAATACACATGCGCAACACAAATCTCAGTCGATATGTGTGAGGGCTGTGATACTGCCCAGGTGCCCAAACCGAAGCAGGTGGTTTTCTTAGGGAGCCACTCCCCGAGCCTTCGACCTGAAGGTCTGATCCACAAGGCAGTGGAGCATCGTCAGGAGATGCAGTCCCATGGAAGCCGGTGACCAACAATTGGTTCATACGCCATTTGTCCGCGCAGGATACTGGAGCCCATGTGCATCATTGACTTGGTTTGGGATCCGGTTAGAGCGCCGGACATTCTCTTCTCGTCCTCTCATTTTCGTAAACAACAGTAATGCCACGAGAAGGCAGTGAGTAGGACTTCCCTGGCAGAGGCTATATACACGTGGCCACGTGAGAGCATTTCGAGAGGGAGAGTGGACTCTCCCCACTCTCGGCCGTACCAGGGCATTTAGGGGCAGTACCACTAGTCAGCACTCAAAACCAATTACAAAAGTGAAAACAAGACAATATTTATTTTAATGAATCATATTAGTGTAAACCTTTAGGCATGTTAATTAATTTTCTGGAAATATTAACATCTGTATATCAATCACAGAAAGCTAACACAATATTTTCCTATTTGTTTCACTTATGATACTGGTATGATATTTAGAATGTTTATCAAAAAGTTTTTGTCATACTCTGTAGCGCGTTCTCTACTTATCTACAACCATGATGAAATGATCTGGCAAAGATGTGACGTCAATCTATAAAAATATTGAATTTTTACATGCATGGAAAAAATGATTTAGGCTTCTTGGGTACTATCCTTAAGGTGTTATAAATGAATTGCTAAAGATTTTGGTCAGTATGAACTAAGATTCATTACAATTGAGAGGAATTAATTCGTTTTTATTTTTTTCGTGTTTTTATTTTTGCTACTTTCTGATTGTACGTTTTATGATTGTGTGAAATGTAGTCACTTTAACCAATGATTCATTGTAGTGGGATTATCTATATTTACATTCATTTGTCGGTGTGCATAATCTAACGTAGATACAATTAAGGTTTCTTTTGCCTACTTCTGATATAATCAATATAAAATATAAAAATAATTAGTTGTGCATCTACAAAACAATGTGTTTACATATAGTTATCACCACTTATTCATCAAATACACCTGAAGTGATAAACACACATTTTAACTGGGTATCCTACAGTTCAAAAAGAAATTCTAGGCGGATCTTTATTTTAATTAAGTATGTATTGATCATTCAATCTCTAGAGTTATGGATTCAAATGTTTCTTTACTCACTAAGATTTCAGCACTTGAACAGTATTATTAATGATTATGGATTTAGGACTGTTTTACAGTGATTAATAAGCTCAATCTTTGAACTGAATTCAATTGGATTGAAATCTGAAAATCAGTTACAATTGACACCTCTATGCATGTCGCATCAATTTTGTTTAAAAATGTGTTCACATAAGATCATGATTACAACTTCTACTAATTACGATAGATATAACTTTATCTTATTCTTAATATCACTATGAATGAGCATATATCTCTTTAGCTGATTGTTGAGTCCTTCAATTCGATTTCAACAAATTTTATGTCATGTAATTTGTCATTAAGAAAAAAAATATCAACGAGTAAGTTATTAACAATACTGTAATGTTGGTATTTTTTTTATTAACAAAAGTACATTTGCAGATCGTTTTTCACTAAGACAAAATTTAGAATAAGGAAACCAGTATGAATATTGCTACTCAACTTTTTAACACAAATATAATTAATTACAATTAAAAGTGCAAGCAACCATGTCATAATTTACAGTAATTTATCCTAGAAATGTACTTTAAATATTGCTGTATGTTAAATGTAAAATTGTGTACTTTTCTATACTAAGGCGATATGTCAGAATAAATCGTGGTGTTCTTTTTGAATCGTTAGACCTATTTCACGTTAGTTTATGCTTTTGAAATGATATGGTTAATAACTATTAACCCTTTAATAAATACCTGTTACTGAAAGCTGAATACATAAACCTGTAGTTGGTCAATCAGTAAGAGAGTAATATTAGGATTTGACAATAAGGTTCTGAATTCGTATTAAAATCGATACCCAAAATATGCAAACTATACAAAACCACTATTTAGAAAAAAATATCATATTATTTGGTATATGAACGGGAAAGAAATGGTATGGTATCAATTAATGAAAGCTATGTTGATATAGGGTTTCTGAGAAAGTTCGGGTTTCACTGACTTGAGCTCTCAGTTATTGAAAAATGTTACCTGGTGACCCTAAATAATACGTCTTTTAACCGAACACAATAGTAACAGTGTGTTTATTTAGCATCTCCCAGTAACTCTTTACATCACCCTATTACTGTATATCTACAAATTTCTTGTTCATCAAAAGCATTCTCTTTAATGTTGTTTTTTCATTGTTTAAAAGTATACTGCTAACGAACGGTGTGTCAGTTTGATTCAGTTTATAATTTTATTTGTTCTTGTACTAAGAATAGTAGTCATCTCGCAGTTAAACATTACAATCTAGTGTAAGATTACAACCGATTGAATACCTCCCCGACTACCCTTATAGATCTCAGTCAATGTAATACATAGTGATATTCATTAAAATACAACCAGGCATTATGGTCGTTTATGACAGATCAGGTAGCTTCCTTTCTGTGCCGAAATTCGTTCCCATTTTAACAATATCGTACATAGTTCATTTATAATGTATTGAAATAACTTCATTCCCCCCGTAAATATAACACACGTGGTAAAATTAATTGCTATTACAACTGTATATTATTTCTGTATTTAATGTTTATGTTCAGTGGTCTAAGTATCAGATCTTTGGTCGATCATGCAGAAGTTCGCAGTCTATCACACCACAGTCGATTGGTATGATTAGTCACTACATGTATGTAGTCCAAAGCCCAGTCGATAAAACAGTACTTGACTATTAAGTTAAACTTTATAAAATATTAATCTTTTGACTAGTTAAGTTATTGAAATGAAATATACCACCACATCTATTTTCTTAAAATCTAGCTGAAGAATTTATTCTATTAAAATGTCAACATAGATTTGATATATACGAGTTACTTGTATCAAGATACTCAAATTTTAAAAACAATCGAAGCGAATAGAATGAATGCCCTCTGAAATCCACTACTAATTTAAGTATAATTCCACCAGAAGCATGTCTAACCATTGATCCTATATTTAAATTACAAAAAAAAAGAAAACAATTGCTAATTATAACTTTATACCCTGAACAAAAATGACATTTATGAATTACTACATTTTCAATTCGACATCATATAGATCTACTTTTTGTATTCAGTTGAATCACGTATATATATATATCATGGTTAGAAATCAAAATAAGGAATAAAACTAAAAATGATTTTCAAAACTAGATGGAAACCCAATTTCTGTTAGTTGTAATGAATTATGTAAATGAAAAGAAAGAGGTATGCATTAAGAATTCCGACTTCGGCATTGGGTGACAGTTGTTTTGAGTTGCAGATGTTCATCAGTTGTAGGAATTCTGCCCTAGCTTTGCTAGATTTTGCCTTCACATCTAGGTCAGATCCTCGTTGTTTGTCGATAATGCTGGCCAGATATGTAAAGGCTTCAACCCCTCCAGAACTTCTCCATCAAATGTGATTTAGTTGGTGCTCTCGATGTATCATTCCATGATCCAAATTCTCCCCTTGTCTATGGTGAGGCCTATTGCTCTAGAGGGTACTATTACACCGGCTTTTTTTCACATGCATTTGTTGTTGTCTTTAGTATAGAAGTCTAAATAGTCTAGTCGCATCCAAGTTTTCCATTGTATTCCGTGTCTCCCGTGAGATAGGGAGGTCATCATAGTCCAGTCAACCACAAACTATGGAAACCAGCACTATATCTAAGTTATTCATTATTTCCTTTCTATTGCATTCAGTCATCTAACATGAGACAGTTTGTTCTACAATAGTCTTGTTTTCAATGGTTTCCGAGCCAAAACATACAACTTATTAGTATGGAACATATGTTTTTACATCATCCCTATTATTTTTATTATTAATACCAAGTCAAAATATAAAAAGTGTATGAAAATATCAATGTGTACACTAGGAAAATCGATTAGGATCACTATCATTATCGTTATCATCACCCTATCCATATTAATAACATGTCTGTATATTCTTTTATTAAAAATAAAAGGTGAGCATTAAATTTTGTTCCTTCTTCTGATTCTTCTCCTTCTTTATGGGTCAAATAAGGTCAATTTGTAAGAAAAATAATTTTTGAGAAAGTGGTGGTGACAGATTTCAGTAGATGGAGTGGGGAGAAGTAAAAGAATCAAATGTTATGAAAGAAGAAATAAAAAAGCATGAAAATAAAATGAGAAGAGATTAAAGTTAGTTAGTCAATCAGCACTAAGTAATTATCTTCGTCTTCCTCTCTATCACCTCCTAATGTGTATCAATCTATATAATTCCTCTTTTTTCATGGAAACTTAGTTTTAATGATTGTATGAAATTAATCTTCTTTTTTTTAATTCTTTTAATAATTAGTTTGCCAGTCCTGTCATGATTAATTTATTTATGTTGAAATAAAAAAGGTGGTAGGAAAGATTACGCAAATGTTTCAAGTCAGCTTGCTTTGTCTCTCTTGTTTAAACCTGATTCAGTGTATATAGTTTTTCATTTGTGTATCTACACATGTATTTGTTTGTTTGTGAAGCCAAACGTTTTTACGACCCACATTACAAAATGTGTCTTTGGTGTAACGTCACTATTATTAACAAAGGAAATGAGCATATGTGTACTATTCGTAAATTGGGATAGACTACGTCAAGAATTTATGTCAATTGAAATTTGTATTTAATGAAACCATGATGATTGATTACGAATAAAATTAGTTTAATAATTTAAAAACAAAGTCTCTCTATCATTGAACGTTGAGATGATATCTATCAATAGAACTCCATCAAGACTGTGATAGTTCTCAAGTGAGGAGTATTAATTGTACTGTATTAAAGATAACTTTTATCATGAACCGATATCAGATTTTGACGTCTGTTTAGTATTGTATAGGATTTGTTAGATCCACACCTCATATGAGAACACACCGAAGACATTCAGGACATAAAGGAAACACTTAAACTACTGAATCATTGTCCAAAGATACATATTTTCACCATCAATCAATTTGTAGTGAAGTCCGATCCTCAGCCGGCCAGTAGGTGCATCACTTTGACTAGTTTAAGCATTCTGATGAAAATTCGAAAAAAGTGTTGAAACTTAGTACTAACTGTTACACAGTTATTATCCCGTAGTGTGGTCCGATGAAATCCATGCAGCTTTGTGTATGCGTTCATGTTAAAGAAGAATGCTGTCTTTAGCCGTGTTGTTGAAAGCATTCCCATCTTATAAGTTTTTTTCAAACATCACTGAAGCTCCTCATGTGTGCTAGCCACATTCTTCTTCGTGATCAGAATACTACACAGCCACTTTCAAATTTAGTCTTTGATTACCAGCTTACGTCCAATGTGTTTCATTTATTCTAAGCAGAGCGAAACTGTATTTCCTCGTTTCTGCAGCTATTTGAATGCTCCTCCCATTCTCCTATATTGTGTGAACATACCATGTATATATATTAATTGTTGCCCTGATTGTTAGAAGGACCGCTGACTTTGTGACTTCTGAAGAATCTTGACTTTCATCATTAGGTACCATAGGTGTTCCGTATTAACACCGTTCAACTCCCAGAGCAGAGTCAATATGGTCTAAATGATCTTTTCAGTCTAGCGCTTGGTTAACAAGGTTCTATTTTACAATATGGGGTTGATAACCCCATACTCAACCCTCCTCCTTTATCCGAACTTCGTTCTGGCAGTAACTGTAGAAAGGCTACAGAAGGAGTTCCACAATTCTTATTTAGTTAAGCGATTTTGTGGAAATTTTTCTAGAATTTAAAAGGGATTTCTTTACTAACTGTAAATCCTGTTTTTGATACCTCTTGAAACTGTAGGTGCTCATTGATAAGGAATCATATACTACACAAAAATGGGTTTACATTACTCTTTATATATCAGTTCTGATTTGGTGCGGAAAACGGCCTTAAAACACTAAGAGGATTCAGCAAACTACCTACCCTTATAAGTAAGATTACATAACATGCAAGGTGAAGTTTTTCACACTACTTATCGAATCCTGGGAATATGTGTGTTACTGCAATAGCTTATGCACCTGATATGTTTTTATGAGAAAAAAACGGTGAATATGCTAATTGAATAATACAGAACTAGATATTTAAACATTGAAGATCATGTGGTGCCTCGATGTAGACTGTTCTATCTCTACTGATAGCTTTGAATTAGAAATCCACAAAAAATGACTAAAAATAGAAGAAATAAGTAGAACTTAATTTGGTTTATCATTTTTTTACACTGAACCGTTGCACCCATATACTTTCACCTTTATCGTTATTATTTAAAACCTGCCTACTTCGTAAAATTCGAAAATACTCTGTCTCAGTTTCAAAAACATATTTTAATATGTCAAATTGAAGGTTAACAAAAACCTCAATTTTTTCTGATCTGTACCTCTCATTATTTTAAAACGGAAATATTTAGTGTTGTCGAATGTAACCGATGAGCTGCTCTAATCCTAGATGCAGATCATAGTTCGTTGACGGATGACTAGTATTTGACTTCTATCTGATATAAGACTGTAATTAAATATGTTAGACGTTATCATACATTAATTTAGAAAAGTAGATTTTGTTGACTGTTTAAAATCGCTTAGTTCCAACCTTTAAAGTAGTCTTTCAAGTATTACACCTTGTACATATCACTTTGGGAGTTAGAAAAGTTATCAATTATCGAAATAATCTGAGAATTTTCATTGTGGTATTTTTTACTTGAGCATTAATACACATAATCGACAAGTTAATAGACACAGCTTAGGCTTGTAGCTTTTGTTGAAATGATTCTAAATAATAATTTCAACTGACCTCCTTCATGTGTATACCATTGTTATGGCTAATGCTCTTTTTACACCAATAGAAGCTCAACTTGGTCCAATATCAAACAGTTTAATACCATCGTCTTCACTTTCAAATCCACTTAATCCAATTCATCTCAATCCGAATACTTCTTTCAATGATATTAATTCCAAGTTACCTCATTCATTTACATCGTCTACACAAAATACATTAAAACCAATTGAACAAACAGATTTAAATAAAATTCTACCTGAAAATTCAAATACAACGTATCCGTTTGATAATTGCTTATCGCATACATCTATAGATAACATTTCATTATTGAATTCAACTAATATGAATTCAGCGGCTACTGCTGCTGCTGCTGCCGCCGCTTCTGCAGCTATGGTAACGGCATTAAGTCAATTTTTATTGGGTAATACACCTGGCCAATCATTACCGAACCCATCATTGTTAGCCGCAACAGCTGCACTGACTAATCCTGAATTATTAAATACTCTTATGAATGCACTGCCACCTACCATTACTACTACTAATACTAATAGTACTACCAACACTACTATTAATACTAATACCACTAATAAAAGTGATAATAATAACACACCAACTATTCAAAGCAACATGAACGAACTTAATCCTAATCATTTTAATAAACTACTGAATAGTTTGACCAATGTACATAACCACTTAAATTTTCCACGTAGCACAGGACTTTCAAATAATATCGCTCAAAAACTCCTTGATATTGATACTAATTCATTTGGACTAAAAGATCACGCCTTGAATTTTATTATCAACAAAGCATGTAATATATCGCCCGATTCATTGACCAAATCTCCAACATCTTCCTCACCGTCATTGTCATCATCAATTTCACCATCAGCTATTATAACAACAACAATCGGGACAACAACTATGACAACATCAATTAGTCAAAATTATTCTTCGTTGAATCATTTAAATCAAAAAACTCCTTCATCATTATCTACACATTCAATATGGCCGTGTAAATTAGAATTAGATTTTACAAATCGTTCCATCATTAATCCATTACAATCGAATTGTGCATTAAATCAATTATTTACTGAATTAGATACAAATCTATCAATGAATATGGCAACATCGAATTCATTTGATCAACAAATGTTATCTACAATTAATTTATCAACTTGTAAAAATAATAGTTATATCACAGAGGATTCATTTAAATTAAATAATTCACGTCATTTAAGTATTGACAGTGAAAATTATTCCAGTGATCTTGAAGGCGGTGGTGGTGGTGTAGAAGGTGTAGGTGGTGTTGGTGGAGGAAATTTAACCGATTCCACATTGAGTGGAAGTTTCAATACATTAAAAAGAAAACGTTCTAATTCACCGAATCACTCAATTGATAACAGTAAATCACGTAAATGTAATTTTTGTAATAAACAATTTAATTGTACAAGTGCCTTGAGAATACATTATCGAAAACATTCAGGTAAGTGTTCTTTTTTCAATGATCTATGTGAATGTGCTTACATAAATCTTTATACATTACATTTAATTGTTTATTTTGATATTTTAGATTGTTTCGAAGCTGAGTACACAGAAGTGTATTTGGTTATTAAAATGAATTATCTTTATATTTTCAGCATCCCATTTTAATTTGTAACTTTATATCAAATTTTTTTATTATAAACTGTGATATCTACTACAAAACTATTAGAATCGGTGAGCAATAGATAGTTTTTTACGGCCTAGTTACGAACTCCTAGTTAGTGGTTAGGATATTCAAGTTTCAGTCACTGAGTAGCAAGTTTGAACTCTGCTACACATTACCTTTAATTTCTGTTATGAGTAGAAAGTCTATATTCATTGGTGAATGATTTCTACGCCATTCAGTTTGTGATCCAAACCGATACTGAATCAACATTTACATTTAAAGAAAGGAATGCATTTCAAACACCTTTATACTATGATTCATAATATTCAGAAGGTTCTATATTATAATTAGAGTCTCAGTCAAATAGAACTGTTGTCTGTGTATGTAATTATATATATAGAACCTTCTGAATGTTATGAATCATAGCATAAAGGTGTTTGAAAAGTCGTCATCAAATTGGACAAACTTTCACCAGGGACGTCACATGTTTATTCACTAATAGTGCTTAAAATTGCCTTACTTTGTTGAAGACAGATTGTCAAATTTCTAAGATACCTATAGTTGTTGTCATTACTTTATCAATGTCATTAAGACCACAAATATGAATTGTAAGATGATTATATTGTATGATGGATCTATATTCTCAGCGTTATTTTTATTCTTTAACCAGGTGAGTAGAATCAAAAAGTGCATCTCGTATCCGGATACACAAACTTGTGTTTACTACTAAAAATAATAATTTTCTCAGTTTAATTCGTGAGCTAATCTTATTTTGACCACCATTGAAAGATCAGAAGCACTGGATATCTGTTTAGTCCCAGTATGGGTAGCTTCAGAAGTGTATATTCGCAACCTCATATATTCCTTTGGTCTTGTGTACGAATGACTAATCTTTAGACCACCAAGTCGGTATTCAACTATTTTAATTTTCAACGTCGATCTATTCGAGATTTAGTGCAACTCTCATCCATTGTCCGCTAATAATAATTTATACGTCACAGGGAAATTGGTTAACTTTAAAATGCACATTATCTAACGACACAGATCACTGGTTTAGTCAAAAGACATCACCCAACTTACATTTGCAAAGCCATATGGTAGTATTTTCTCATACATCGCCAAATTATAACTGAGTATAATTATTAACCATACTTAATAGATGATTTGAATTAATTCTTAATTCTTGTTCAAGGTTTATTTGAAATTACTAGATTTTAGTTTACAAACAATTCCCATAAGTGGTTTATATTTGAAAAGCTATTTGAATTGCTAGAATTAAAAAAAACTGAACGTTCCTACTGTACTAGTTACTATGACGTAATCATATTCAATATACTAATACTGTGTACATACTGATTTATTTTCTATCATCACTGACAACCACTTTGATAATCTATTGGTAGATGCATTTGTTTTCTTAGTGTACGATATTTTGAACGTTTTCGATTTTCATATTTTACATGACGAATTGATTTGAGTTAGACAAACGTCGTAAACTAGAAAGCATTAAACAGTTGTTTTATCTTAGTATGAGATTTCTCAGTAGTGTGCACAACCACACACTTGGGGTCGAACTCAGGATCTACGAGTCTCACTACAAACACTTAAGCTTTAGATTACTGAGTCACTGTTCATTGGTTTATGTGTCTAACTTAAATCCATTCGCGATATCAATCGCCAGTGATAACAGTTGTTTCACTGCCAACAAGGCTGTGCTCCACTCGTCAGAACTTCTGGTTAGAACTCACTTTTCACTTCTTTTTTTACTTAAATTTCTGGACAATTTTATTGTTTTTTGGAAGAATGTATCGTATATATGATATACGTTGCGTGAACAAAATTTTGTCATTTTTTCATCTGAAAACATTAGTATAATTACTCGAATTGCTTTTGTATGCTACGTTTCTTAAAAATATTGAGAACACAAAGAAGGGGAGATTAATCTGACTTAATTCAGTTGACATCCGGAGGTCATTTTTACCCTGTAACGATATATACATGTCTAAGCTTGTATATATGTAATGCGTTGATTATTATTATCACCATTATTATTATTATTATTATTATATCTTATCTTTGGGGTCAACATATCAATTTTGTGTATAATTACTCTCTTTACTAGTTGGTATTTGTAAGCATGTATGTTTGCTTATTTCATTGTATGTGTTTATCTACTGTTCAAATATAAATGATAACATTAATTTTTTTCTAGCTCTTACCATCACTATTGTTTTCGCTTTTTTCACTTCCCATGTGAATTGCAATCTTTCTCCTACTCAAACGATTACAGCAAATATCATTTTAAGTTGAAATTGAGTCCGAAAATCGAATTCACTCAACCCACTGTTATAAGAATGTAATTATTACCAGCATACTTATGTATGGATGTACATGCATGTATATATACATACATATATATTAATCCCTTATATATATTCATATATGTATAAACGTGTGAAAAGGTTAATAATTGAAATTGAAATTATAAATTGGTCATTTACTTAAAATTGGTGTAAATTACAGACAGAAATGTTTTATGATGTGATGTGTATATATGTATGTATTTATATGTATATGTGTACACCCATTTATCTATACATTGATATATATGTAATACAATGAAGAACACTTAGATATCCTGTCATCATCATCATCATCATCATCGTCATCAGTATAATGATTTTCACTTTTTGTCTTGATTAAAATACATGAAAAGTTTCTTTCATCATCAACAACAACAACGACATGAAAAAAGATGAAAAAATAAATAAATAAGTATAAAAAGGTTGTGTGTTTTTTTTATTTAAAAACGATGTATACCACCATGCAGGAAATGAAAGTGTGAACTCAATTAGATTAAAAGCTCTAATTATATTGACAGTTTTTATCAAGAGAATTGATGTTAACAGTGTGTATAAGTGAGTGAGTGAGTGAGTGAAGGAGTGAATGAGGATGAAATAATTTGAAGGAATGACACTCTTTTTAAGTGTAAATATGTGAATGAATTAATCTCAAGTTCACTTAATCACTATGTTTATTTCATCATCTCTATATAATTATTAAATTAAAGAATTATCATTAATTTATTGTAAAATAAAATGAATTTATAATAGTTTACCTGATTTAAATAAAACTTAACCGTTAACAATTATAAAGCATCAATAGAAAGGAGAGTTTACTATTTTAAAATTCACTATAGTGATTTTAATGTTATGGATATTTAAAAAACAAAAGCAAAAAAAAGAGAATAAAATAAAGAAAGAAAAAAAGCTTCATTTCTACTTAGTTCGAACCATTTAACGACTTGTTACTTTACATATTCATGTAAAATCTCTTAACAAATAACCTCATTATAATTCCTATATATTGTATTCAGTTAATTAATAATAATTAAAATAATTTCAACAGTTGAGATCATGAGTCAATGGAAAACCTGGTGATCTAGCTTCAATTCACTCATGATCTCAACTTTTGAAATTACTATAATATCCATGAAACCCCTTCTGAACCTAAAATAATCTTTACATTGAATGATCTTCATAAATCTCCAAATAATAATCATATCTTCAGTAGTGATTAGTTTTGTAACGAATTCTCAAGATTCTAATCAGAATTTATTATGCATAGGGGTTCATTCATGTTATAAAATGAGATCAATATCGTCAGCATCAATAATAATTAATAATTGCTATGTATCATGAATTAATATTAACTATACAAAGGAATTGTTGACTAAATTAATGAATTTAAAATATATGATGTTCACTTGTAAATTAGACACTTAATCAATTTTGATTGAGATTGATGATAGACCACTATTGAAAATCTGGAAGCACTGGACGGCCGTTCCGTCCTATTGTGGGACTTCTCAGTAGTGCGCATTCACGATCAATTGTTTGATCTTATGAAGAGTAAATCTTACTTCATTTGTCACCTTTAACTAACTTATTTAATGATAGTTTTAAATAGTAAAAAAACTGGTTGGAAATAATTTCAAGAAGTGAATACATCATAAAGTTTGAAAATCTATTTTATTATTATTAATATTATGACTAATGGCTTTATTGAATATTACAGTTTTGGTACAATATAGAATTCCCAGCACAAAATACTTCAACAAATTTCCTTTTCTTATTTCTTGGTCAATTCTGATGATGAATATTGAATAATCGGCAGTTAGATGTTAGCAGTTCAGGAATCGATATTTGAATAAGGTTCATTCTTTTCAATGTATATTGCCAGTCAACATGATGTTTCTGATTGTACTTTTCTGTAACTTGTACATTGAAAGGTTATAAACTTTCCATAAACGCGCCTGAATAGGGTTATAAGATTAATAGACATTATGTAGTGTTAAAATAGAATAAAAAGTGCTAACTTGTTGAAATATCTAGATGACAGGAAAAGGTAGCTGAAATATTCAAGCAGGCCACCGATGATTATCTGAATTAGATTATCTAAATATACATAAAACACAAGTCTGTAATATCATATTTGTTTACATTCACTAATTCACTATTAATTATAAATCTCTTCTAATTATACCTTCAGATCGTCATTATAGCATTCACCTTTTAGTTAATTTAATTTAAAAATACGAGTACAATCAATTCAGATATAAGGCAATGGTCAGGAAGAGAAAAGAAAATGCACCAATTTCAACTTCTGTTTAAAATGATAAATACATTTGTGTAGATTATTAAAATTCATCCTCTCTATATAAACGTAATGGTACAATATTAATACTGATAAGTGGGTTGGCTCTACAACTTTAGATAAGATGAATTTGATCAGAAATGAATAATGATAAGCACAATAATCGACTGAATTCATAA